CACATAATCTCCCTGCCCTCCTCCTGCACAGGCTGAGGATGAATACAAGGTAAGGTCCCTGGCCCCCTGCTGAGTCACTTAGTTACCCTTCTGAACTTCTCAAACTGAGAGCTGTAAGGGCGTGTCCTTTTCATCCTGGGAGGTAGAACTGCTGAGTCACTTAGCCAAGCCTCTAGATTCCTCCAGTCGACACAGTGTATCAACCCTAACAGCAACTTTTTAAAAAGTCAAAATATTAACCTGGCACAGTGGCATATATTTGTAATCCCACAACTTTGATAGGCTGAGGCAGGAGGATCATAAGATTGAGCCCAGGCTGGTTAATTTAGTCACTGAATGATACCAGTCTCCAAATAAAAATTTACAAAGGGCTAAGGATATAGTTCACTATGAAGACCCTGGGCACAATCTACAGTACCCCCCCCTTCATAGAACACGAAATACTTTCTGATCTAAATAATTTTACCTGCAACTCAAATTTAGGACTATTATTTTTTCACTGAAGTGAATCAATTCGTGTGTTTCTCCTTTTTTCCAAAGCCCTCAGTCCTGGTTCTCCGCAGCCCCAACAGAAATTGCTCCCTTGCCTCACGCTGCAGTGCACTCCACAGCCTCAGCGCAACATTGGTTACCAGCAGCACGGTCACTGAGCGTGGCGCGGGTCTGCGTGCGTGCGCGCGCGCATGCGCATCTCCAGGGACCCGCCCACCGGGGCTGAGCAGGCCTCACCGCGTGTAGGAGCCACGCTTGAGGTCTGCTCTCTGCTTTGTTCATCACCAGCCTAAGGCACCCCTGGGTTCATGGGCTTCATTTCGTCTTTGTTTTTAAGGGTTGCTTCTCAATTGATTTGGGGTTATTTATATAGATGTGCATAACTTAGATGAAGCCTCTGGCAGGACCATAAGCCAAGGTTATATTCAGAGCTATCCAGCTTCGATCCCTGTCTGAACCCTCTTACTGTAGATAATTCTGTTAAAGTGTGTTTTTTCTTCTCATTTAGATGTATAAACAAGCACGTGTATTTTCCTATTTTTCCCTTCTTTTCCACAGGTAGTAACATACTGTGTTCAAGATAATGCAGATAATAATCTTGGTTTTTACATGTAATGCCCTAAACGTCACACCACTGCGGTACACAGAAGTAGTTTATTGGTAGCTCTAGCACTCTCATGGCACAGATAACCCACGGCTCAGTCAACCTGTGCCCTTCGTGGGGTCTCTAGCTGGTGCCCAGTCTTCTGCTGCTATCGCCAGAGTCACGGTGACTTGTTTTACACGTGTGTTTCCATGTTCTCCCTAGTGTCTCTTTTGGCTGTTTCCAGAGGTGGAACTGCTGGCTGAGAGGAGAAATGAATATGCAGTTTTGCTAAGTATTTTGGAATTCATCTCCACAGGAGAATTTGCATTTTGCCTTCTGATCTGCAAAGTATGAGGAGGGCAGAAGCTCCTCCACAGCCTGGCCAGGCATATTTCATCGAATTTTGAAAAACTCAACACATTTTCAAATTCAACAGTTTGATCATCATGCTTTGAAAAATATCTGGAATGTTGGATTTAACAGTCCCGTTACCTCTAACCTAAAAATGGTGGACGACTTGAACAGGAAGCTGGTCATAGAAATGAACAAGCTGATTAAAAGGAAAGGGCCTTAAAACATGAACTTATCAGAGCAACACAAAAAGGAGATGTGGTTCTGACTTGCCCCGAGGGCAGGACCCGCTCCCACCTCGAGTCTCTGACCCTGTGGTTGGGCAGGCCAGAGCCTCCTCCCTCCCACAGGACACAGCGGCCCCCACACCTGCTCATGGGGGTCCCCGGGGTCCAGCTCTCACCTCTGCAGGGCCGGCTCACCACTTTCTTTGGGAATCTGGGCTTGTGCCTCCGGATCCCTCTACCTGTCCACATCTCCTCTTGTCCTCCCACCCCCAGCCCGGGGCCCCTGCTACACCATCTCCCACTGCCTTGCCCAGACTGGGAGGCCCAGAGCACCCGGTCTTGTGTGCTCAGAGTCAGGGACTGTCTTTCCGAGCAGTGGTTCCATCCGCACTGATGTCCATCTCCACCATGGCGATCCTAACCCCATCCGTTCCCCTATGACATTTTCATTTAAAACTCTCTCTGCTCAGATTTCCCCTTCACCTCCCCTCCAGTGTCAGGTTAAGGCTGTTAAGTGACCTTGGGCTCATGGTAGAGTATTTGAACAATAAATGAAAGTACACAGTTTCAGAACGAAACAGGTGAACATAACGCCCAGACGTGGTGGCCAGCGTCTCGCTTGGCATGTTTACTGCGGCGTGTTGTCTGTGCGTTTAAGTGTAAGTGAGATCGCAGCGCACACGTACATTCTCCCCTGCTTCTCTACTTACTGCTCCTTCTGAAAACATGTGGCTCTATTTCTTCGTGGTACTGTTCTCTTTCATAATTTCTTAATTATTTTTTATTCATTATTATTTCCTTCATATTTTAAAATTAGAAATGTTTTATCCCCTTTCCCACTGTCCCAGTTGAGTGCGTGGATGACTTGTGTTTATTGTTTTTGTTCAAAATGGATTTCAGGGATTGGTTTTTCTTACCCTCTAGATTTCTAAAGTCAGAAAGTAGAGCGGGACAAATCCAGGGTAATTCCACTCACTAAGAAACCACTGAGCGGGGCTTAGGTGCTCTTTATGGTGGTACACTTCCCCCAGACGTGCAGCTTCCGATTTCACCTACTGCATTTTGTGAACATTTTCTATGCCAGTGTATGCTTTCCTTCAACAATCATTTTTAATGGCTACGTAGTGTTTTACTGCACAGATCAAATTCATGTTTCTCGGTGGTTTAATTGCTTCTCTGAACGCTCTCTCCTCAGAAATGGTCTTTCGTTGTTAATGTCGTTAGGATATATGTTCCGGCTATGGCTCACATTTGGGAACGAGGAAGATTCAATTTCTAGAGCTAGAATTCACGGGCCACAGCGTGGTGTCCGCAGCGGTATGTGGTGTCCGTTGCCCCTTGCACACCCAACCCAGGACGCGGGGCTTTGCCTTCCTGAATCTTCTCCAACATGCATATGCTTCTAATGGGCTGGTTTGGTTGAGTAGAAGACACGGCACGTTCTTTCGGTACTGGTGATGTTGAAATTGCCCTGATTTGTGTCGTGTGTGTATGTTCACTCATGTTCCTTGCTTGTTGTCTTCAGAACGCTTTGCACGTGAAGCCAACGTGCAGACGCTGATCCCCCTCGCCATGCACCTTCGCTCTTCCTGGTGGCACACGGCTCTCTTATGAGTTTATGTAGACGAGTCTCGATTTTTCTCTTCTGTGTTTTTGGCTCTGGAGCCAGCCTTAAATTTTCCAGTCCATTTTATGGTTGTGGAAATATTATGCTATTGTTTTTCTTAAGACTTTCATGCCTTTACTTCTTTTTAATTTTTAATGCAGTATTTAATCACAGTTGTAATGATTTTCGCTTGAGACCTGCATCAGGGTTGAACTTTATGGATTTGTGAGTGTCACTTACCCAACCCCTGCAGTAAGGGGCCCACGAGTGCCTGCTCATTTACAGGGTTGCACCATGTGAGCCTTGGAGATGAAGAGCAAACTTGGGTCAGGGACCTGGGAGGCTCCACAGAGGGCCGCCTCTCTGCTCAGGCTGCACATTCTGGCCAGTGGTGTCCGCTCTGGGTGGGCGGAGCAGCCCTTGGGTGCTGCATGGCGGCCGGGTCTCGTCCCAGGCCTTTGGGCACGGTCGGGTGGCAGTGTGGGCCCTGGCTTCTGCCTTCTCACCCTCGGCCATGGCCAGTCTTCCCCTTACCCCCAGTCCAGCTTTCGAGGGCGGGTCCAGCTGTCTCCCCTGTAGTCTAAGTGCCCGGGGCACACCCGTTCTGAGTTGGGCTCCCCAAAGGCAGCCCCTGACAAGGATTTGAGCACAGGTTATCGGTTTCAGGGGGAGTCCAGGGCCCGCGGCAATGTGACATGGGAAGGAAGCTCTTGAGAGGAGCGCCAGGGCGGTGTGGTCAGCGGGGTCCGTGCCCACTGGGGCTGTTGTCTGGCGGGAGACTGTGGTCCGCCCCTCTTGTCCTTCATCAAGACAAGCCCTGGCTGCCCCCAGGGCTTTCTGGATTTCTGTCCTGACTGTCCTTGCAGAGAAAGCCTACGAGACAGACACAGGTCCCTGCCGTTGGAGGCCACAGTGCTGGGCGGTGTATGAGGGCCACCAGCTGCGGCTGTGGAGGGCCACCCCTGCCGAGCATCCCTGGCCACTTGTGGTCCAGGTCCCACAGCAAAGCTTCCAAGGTGGGTAGCTGAAGACAGGCAGTGTGCGGTGAGCAGCTCCATCTGGACGCCCTTCTTTCCGGCCCTTCCGGGAGAAGTGCATGGCTGACCCTTCCACAGGACTCGAGCAGTTACCCAGAAGCCGAAGACATCCTCTGGCAAGAGCTGGGGGTGGCACTGAGTTGCGTAATCACCCCTTTTCTTACCAGCTGTGGTCACTTCCGAGAACGGCAGTGAGGCACGCGGGGACGGAGGAGGCCACAGGGGCAAGGGCTGGGGTCAGGCAGAGCGGCCCGCGCGCACCTTGACCGTGTGGGCTGCTGCAGGGAGCCGGGAAAAACGGCTCATTGTATGACTCACTCATGAGTCACAGCAGTGCTCATTCTCATTTTCAGAGTTTTTAAACTCACAAATGCTTTCCTCCCACAAGCAAACAATTGCCATTTTTATTCTAAAAGCCCAGTCAAGTCTATCATCATTTTAATCTCTTACTACATATTAATGGGATACATGCGTTTAATTTGGCTGAGGAGGAGAAGGAGTCTCAAGAAAAAAAATCTGATTTTGGGTCTATTTCCTTTCTTGCCGCGCAGGCAAATCCCAGATGAAATGAAGGGAGGCCACCCCACAATGACAAGTTTGTAAGCCAAGGATGTTGAGGAAGGAATTTGTACTTTGAATTCGCTGGCTCTTTTTCAAATATTCGGGTGGGGCGTTTGCAGCTCATATTTTTGTGACAAGGCGGGTGATAAATGAGACCATAAACTAAGCTCGGTTGTCATCGCTCTGCAGCAGGTACGTGGGATTCATTACGAGGGTCTGGGCTAGGTGCTCCTCTGGGGTCGGGAGCTGGGGCAGTGGTCTCCAGAACTGGAGGGACCATGCCTCTGCCCTTTCATTTGGCTCCAACTCATGGCTCAGCGGGGTGATGTGAGGCTGCAGAGTTAGGATTTCATTTCTGGCCATGGTGTTAGAGGCCAGGCCAAACTGCGAAGGGAAGACCTCATTTCCGAAGTCCATTTCACCCTCCCCGGGCTGTGTGCCTGAACCCTGCCCCACGGCCCGGAGCCCTGGACTCTGGGTCACCCGGTAGCTGGGTGCCACAGTGCTGCTGGATGTCTCGGCTGAGCAGGGTCGGTAGGGCGTGGGTTCCCCTGGTGCCCTGGCAGCTGCTGGTAATGTTGGCTGCTGGCTCTGAGGCAGCAAAGGCACCAGGGAGCTCCCTCATCACCGGGGGACACTGGGCCTCCTAGAAAGCGACAGGCACAGTGCCCAGGCCAAGGTCTGCCTGGCGCCAGGAGAGTGAAGATGGTGATGATGAGGCTGATGGGAGGGGACAGAGAGGTCGCTGTGGACCTTCGTCCTGCAACCGCAGGAGCTGCACCTTTGTCTCGGGTCGATTTTAACTGCTTTTGGCCTTGTGGGTATAGAGGTTCAGTGACATGTGGGGGCTTGGGGAGCTGAGGAGGAAAGATGTTTGTGTCCTGAGTGGAGCCTGGCTCAGGGAGCTTTGGGCTGGAGATCAGGACTGGAAAAACACCAGGGACCTAAGCTTGTGTTCAAGCAGGGAGGTACCGGGCCTGTGGGTGTGCAGTTCTGCAAATGGTGCTGATATTTCATGGTCTGTACTGGAGATCGCCAATGGCACTGACCACAGAGCTCTGGCGTGTGATGGAATAGGTGCCACATCGGGGCCCTTAGCTCTCTCTGGCTCGGCCATTGTGCAGCTGACGGTCAGAGGTGGTCCGCCTCCGCTCCTGAGATCCCCACTGGCACGGTCAGGTCCACCGAGACTCTGTCCTGCTCATGCTAGGGCAAGTTGGCCGCACCCAGGCCTCCAGGGCCCTCCAGCCCCACGAGGGGGCTGGCCGGGCTCATGGACAGTGAGAGAACTGGGGCTTTTCATTAGTGTTGTCACACTCCTTCACTGTCTATTTTGTATTAAAAAATAGAAATTTCATTGATTCATAAAACCTGAGGGGAACTAGCCATTGCGACACAATATTGGGGACAGATGTCTAATTCTAAAGCACGCAGACATGTGCTGCATTCTCCAGCAAAGCAGAAGCCAGACGCAATCAGCAGCATTTGCCCGCCAGCAGGGTCGCTGCAGCGCCTCCGCCCTGTGGCCACCGCCCCCACACTCCCGGTGGCGGGACTCGCCTCACTGGGCCTTGGAATCTGCAGGAGGCCGTGCACAGGAAATTCAGGGAACATTTGGGGCCAATCTTCTAGTGAAGCTGAAAGGCAAAGAGCACTGCCAAATCCTCCCTGGAAGCCAGTGTTACCTGGATTCCAAAATCATCAGACAAGGACTCAACCCAAAAGGAAAACTACAAGACAGTCTCTTTGATAACATACATGCAGAGATCCTCAACAAGATACTGGCAAGCAGAATGAGACAATTCATTAAAAAGACCATACATCATGACCAAGTAGGCTTCATCCCAAGGATACAAGGATGGTTCAACATACACAAATCAATAAGCGCAATCCATTACAGAACAGAAATTAGGACAAAAATCACATGATTGTGTTGAAAGAGGTGGGAAACACCTTTGACAAAATCCAACATCTGCTCATGATAAAAAGAACCCTGATGAAAATAGATGTAGAAGGAACTTATCTCAATCTGATAAAAGCCATTTATGGCAAACCTACTTCCAACGTCCTGTTTAAGGGGGAAAAGCTCAAAACGTTCCCTCTAAAACCAGGAACAAGACAGAGGTGTCCACTATCCCCACTCTTGTTCAGTACTGTACTCAAGACTTTAGCCAGAGCAATCAGCAAAGAGAAAGAAATAAAAGGGACAGATATAAGGATGGAAGAGGTCAAATTGTCACTATTTGCACATGATACAATCTTTTATGTGGAAGACAAAAAAATTCCACCAAAAGACCGCTAGGACTATTAATCAAATTCAGCAAGATAGCAGGATGCAAAATGAACACACAAAAATTCATACCACTCCCATACACCAATAAAAAATCTCCATTAAAAAAACTAGGAAAACAATACCATTCATAATAGAATGGTATTCAAGAAAAATCAAATGCTTAGGAATTAACTAAGAAAGCAAAAGACTTCTGTGATGAAAACTATAGCACTCTGAAGAAGGAGATTGAAGAAGACATCAGCACATGGAAAGACATCCTGTTTCTGGATAGGCAGAACTAATATAGCCAAAATGGCCACACTTCTAAAACTGATATATAGGCTTAAAGCAACCCCAATCAAAATATCAACAGCTTTCTTCACAGAACTGGAGAAAACAATCCTAAAATTCATATGGAACCAGAAGAGACCCAGAATAGCAAATGCAACCCTGGGCAATAAGAGCAAAGCAGGGAGGCATCACAATCCCAGATTTCAAGTTATACTACAAAGCTACAGCGATAAAAACAGCAAGGTGCTGGCTCAAAAACAGATATGTGAATGATCAATGAAATAGAATAGAGGATGCAGAAACAACGCCAGGCACATTCAGCCATCTGATTTTGATGACGGAAACTAAAATATACACTGGAGGAAAGATAAATGATAAGTAAATGATTAATAAATGATGTTGGGAAAACTGGCTATCCACATGCAGAAGACTGAATGTAGACCCACATCTCTCACCAAGTACTAAGCTAAAATCAAAATGGGTCAAAGATCTAAACACTTAATATGCTGGGAGATAAAATAGGAAAAACTCTTGAAGACATTGGTATAGGCAAGGACTTTCTGATCAGAATCCAAAATTGCACAAGAAATAACATCAAGAATCAACAAAAGGGATTATATCAAATTAAAAAGCTTCTGCACAACAGAAGTAACAAGAGAGTGAAAAGACAACCTACAGGGTGGGAAAAAGTTTCTGTCAGATATTTCTCAGACAGAGGACTAACATCTAGAACATACAAAGATTTCAAATTAGACATCCCCAGAATAAAAGACCCAATAAAAAATTGGCAATTGAAACAAATAGACATTTTTCATAAGAAAAAGTACAAATGGCCAATAAGTACATGAGAAAATATTCAACATTGCTAGCCATTAGGGAAATGCAAATTAAAACAGCACTGAGATTCCATCTTACTCCAGAAAGAATGGCTATCATCAAGAAGTCTAACACAGTAATAAATTCTGGTGAGGCTGCAGAGAAAAAGAACGCTTCTGCATTGTGGGTGGGAATGTAAACTAGTGCAATTATGGAAATCAGTGTGAAGAGATCTAAAAAAACCTGAAACTAGAAATCCCATTTGATCCAGCTAATCCCCTTCTAAGTATCTTCCTGAAGGAGTTAATGACATCGTATTGTAGCGATCCACGCACACCCATGTTTATAGCAGCACAACTTATAATAGCTTAAGCTTGGAAGCCTATATGCCCATCAACAGATGAGTGGATAAAGAAAAGGTGGCATTTACACACAGTGGAAAACTACTCTGCCAGAAAGAAAGATAGGGGCTGCCTGGCAAGTGCAAGGTTGTGAGTTCGATTCCCGGTAAACAAAACAAAAAACAAACAGAAAGAAAGACACATTTGAGTCATCTGTAGGAAAATAGATACACCCTGAGACCACAGTATTAAGTAAAATAAATCAGCCACACAAGGTTAAATATTTATGCTTTCTCTTATATGAGAAATCCAGACAAATAAATTAAAGGGCAAAAACAGGGAGACAGATCTTTTGCAAAAAGGAAGGGACCAAGATATGGGGTGGGGGTGAAAGAGAAGTGAGATGCATTATATACACACATCAACTCCACACAAGGAATGGGATTATGTACTGCGAAAGTGTACTAAAAAACAGAAGAAAAATTAAATCTCCAAAAAGAACTGATTTATAATCTGAAAAGTCAAAGAAAAAAATTAAATGAAATTAGAGATGAAAAGCTAAAGCAACCAAGGTGGGAAGAATGGTGAGTCCAGTGGGTGGAGGGACCATGGGAAGAGGCGTCACTGAGAGGTCAGAGATCACTGTGGCTTAAACGTCTGCGGAGGGCACAAGAGCCATTCTGGATGGTCACACTGCAGAGTGCAGGACAAACCTGAGATGTCCGGAATGACAGGAGGAGGCTAAGGGCTAGAAGGGATTTTAACAAAGAGAAGGACAGAAGGCAGCATACGCCGCAGGGGAGGAATTGGTTCAACATCTGAGTGACTGGGGACCCTGAGGAAGAGCCTGAGCCAAGGGGACAGGCGGGGCAGGAAGAGGGGGGGGACCAAGGCCGCGCACCTTGACATTTACCCGTGAGGCACTGGGATCTCAAGGAGAGGCAGCGGTCCTACAAAGGGACCCTTTCTGCTTGGGCCTCAAAGTAGTAAATCTGAGGGGAGGGTCCCAGCAGCCGCAGGCCTCCCCAGCTCCTTCCACATGCCACATGCTGACCTCCTGTGCAGCCGCAGGGTGGTCACCTGCAGCCAGGTGTGCAGGAAGAGGCTAGAGGGAGCCGTGAGCCAGGCGTGGGCTCAGAGCAGACTCACCTCTGTGAGACGGGGTGGGGGTGGTAAAAAAGCAAACCAGAGCAACATTTTTCTTTATTTGAGGATGATCTGATCTATGGTCTTTCCAGAGACAACTTGAAAGTTATCAGAATGGATATGCATGCAAGAGGCGGTTGGTTGCAAATCAAAAATCCAGGAAGCCATGGCTATTCTAGATGTTCCAGCCATCAGCAAAGCTCAGTTTATTCTTTGACTCAGATACCTACACATGCATATATGTGTACACATGTGTATACAAACACACACACACATGCACACATACACATACATATTTGGTAATTTTTCTGAAACTGGGAAATTTT